GCTCTCTCGATTTCCCCTACTTTGCAAGTTTTTTGGGTACGAGAACGCAAAACCAGTAAAAGTTTTCTAAAACTTTAGATAGTTGGGCGTGCGAGTACACTCCTAGTGACTTAGTGTGAACAATTCATGTCATGAATTTCCACGAATAAATTCAAATTCCAGCGAAATGCAAGGGAATGTACGTTGTCGTTGTTTTAAGTACATTTCTTGATACATTTGAAGTGGAATTTTTGTAATATTTTCAGTCTTGTACAAAAATTTTTGTGAACAGACTTGTTGTGCGATACTATTTTCAGCATAAACGGGCTTTTACAAGATAGGCATTTTTTCTGATACATTTAAATATACGGGGACATACAAACAAGTAGCATTTACATGTGGGGATACATATCTTGTAAGAATGCTTTAATACTGTTCCATTAATCCATTTTTGTATGTTTGAAACATTAATACAGCCATATGCATACAGCAGTAGTACAAGTGCATGATTAAGGTACGCCACCAACAGCGATTTCTTATGCTTAAAATTTCTTCTGGGTATGTACGTTTGTACATGTATATATTTCTGGCTGCATACCAACACACTTTACCAATTTTAGATATATAAACCGCCTTGTATCGGATATCTCGGATTTCCATCAGCGGTACACCCTGTGATCGGTTCCAGTGCTGGACTCGGATTTATCATCAGCGACATCTTGCCGCTTTTATCAGAGTTCTGAACTTGGATTTCGATCGGCGACGTCTTTTGGCGGAGCAGCAAAGCTTGCGCCGATTGAGCAACCGGAGCAGCAGCAAACCTTATGCCGGTTCTGGAACCGGAGCAGCAGCGCTTCTAGCATAGGCATAAATATACTACTAAGGAAACTAGAAAGCATGGAAAGATAGGAAGAAAGCAGAAATAACCAGATATAGAAAACGTGAACAGATAAAGTTTTGAAGTGATTACGAGAAAAACTAAAAGTGTTGGATTATTACCGTTGGGCGCCATTTTTGTTGTGGAAGCCTGAAGTCGTGGATGGGAAGTCGTGGCGCGCCAGGCATGCTGGAAGCCCGGGCTAAGCTCGTCGTCGCTCACTGCTACACAATAAAAAAATATATAAGGGTTCATGCCTGTTACAATAAGAAAGGTGAAAAGTAGGAGAAACCGTCCGGTCAGCTTGGAGTCAGCCCTCCCCCTCTGTTTGAACACCAAACAGCCATGAGCTCTACTTCGACTCCACATACTTTAGTAGAACTCCCAATACTGACGTTAGTCCGTACGTCGACTGGTCAAGTCATGTCCGACGTCCGTCCAGCTAGTCCCAGCAGCGAGATAGTTCACCTGTGTTGCACCATTGCTCCTGGAGAGCTACCCCTCTTACACCAACCATAGAGTTCTAGCAAGCCATGGTAAACTTACATACCACTATGACCTACTAACTGAAAGACTGTAACTTCAATTAACACCGAACTGATTTCCATTTATTTAGTTCATTAATTCAAATCTCTTACTCACTAATGTTGTTTTTTTTTCTATACATTTATATCATTTAGCTTTACTTTACTTCCCACAAACAAATCCCTAAATCTTATTTCTACGGTCTGCTAGTTCTCCTCCTCTTACAATCCTTTTCTTCTTCCAATTCTTTCCCTCCTTTTTTTGTTATTAAATCAAAAAAAAAAAACTATCTATAATTATGTTTATAATTCTTAATTATTCCTCCTTTTTGTTTCATTAACGAAAACTTCTAAACCATTGCAAGGGTTAATATCATGCATATGAGTATCTACGCATACGAACATATGCGTAGATACATTCATGCAAAAGAGACAAAAATCAATAACTACGTATTTGCAAAAAAAAGGTAATATTTATGTTTGCATATGTAAGTACGTATTTATATGTATATGTAAACATGTAAATCTCTCACCTAATTTCTCGCTCCGCGTTGGTACCATCGACACCGGGAAGCTGGAAAGGCTGTGGGAAAGAATTGACCCCTAGAAAATACATACACATACTCATTATACGAGTGGATCTTAGAATCTAACTGGAAGACCCCAAGTCTGATATGTGGCTGGAGCGCTCATTCGAAGCTGTGGGCAACAAGTGAAGCTCTGCCCAGTACCACGCGGTCTGTTAAACTCGACGGATGACCTTAGCTAGTCCGCGAAATTATGTTTCAAGCAAAAAAAAATAAATAAATCCTTCATGTGCGAAATTTAATTAATCAAATAATTCAACCTTTAGCAAAAAAAGCCGCGGATCAAGAAAGCAATATTGAATAGTGAACGAAAGTGTACGCGAGAAAGAAAAGGAATGAATCCCTAAAGAAAAAAAGGTTAAAGTGAGATTAAAGAGTTGTTCAATCAAAAAAAAAAAAAAAGAATGATACAATTCAATGATAAAAAAAAAATTTCAGGTGAGAATCAAAAGCCATTGAATTCGATTATAAAATATTTAATAAAAAAATAGAATCTCAAATAATCTATCATCCAGTTATAAAGCAACAGTAAAAAAAACCAACAGTGATTGACAAGAGGTAATTGAGAAGTAGTGGAAGAATCAAAGAAAAAGGATGTGAAGTGCGGGAATAAAACTAGAGTCTAGGGCGTACTAAGAGTGTTGTAAGAATTTTTGCAAAAAAAAAAATGCTTAATTCAGTGTAGCAAAAAAAAAATCCAAAGAAAGTTTCCAACATTCTGCATTGTCTTCAAAAAATGCTAACAAAAACAAACTTAATCAGATAAAATGCTAGTTTAGCTATATCTACAAAAAAAAAGGTAAGTGACTTCGAATGAAAAATCAAAATCGGATTCCACACCCTATAACAATATTAATTTAAGAGAATTAGTTAGTTTAAAAACAACATCCTAAATTATTTGCAACAAAAAAAATTATATATATAAATGCGTTTGTGAGTGCGCTCCAGCGGGGGCCCTTTACGTATAACTAGGTTAAAGGTGGGTAGTGCGAAACAAATGTACAAAAGAAATTAATATTTTTACACGGATGTGTGTACTAAATGAAACAAAAACAAGCAAAATGACCTAAGTCCAGGCTATGAGGTACGGATGTCGAGAAGATCACCAACCGGCAAGTTTCCGCTCACGTATGCCTACTCGCTATGCCACAGCGAGTTGAGAGAGAAAACGACGGTGAGTACTAGTTGCTCAGTTATTTTGCAATAGCGGGCCCAGTGACTTTCACGCGCTCTCTTCCAACTTTCACTGGTACATACGTATGTCGAGTGGATTTCTTATATACCTTTTTTGTTGACACTGCAATTGTATCGAATGTGGCTAGTACTTTGTACATCCATGTACGTACATATACCCCTTCTTGCCGGAAATCGAGGTCCTTAAGGATAGCCTCCCGCGGGCAAGGACCTGAAACCAATACGTGCCCCGATTACCCTTCCACATACTAATATTTGTGTTTTACTGAGATATTTGCCCATGATTGAATTATCGTGCTTTTTAGTCTCTCTACAAAAACCGTGGAACTTTATGTTAAATTACTT